GAATTGTTACTATTGCCATCATACCAACTGAGAATTTATTGCAATGATTTTAAATTCAGTTGAAGTATCTGACATATTATGACATAACATTGATCTTTTATATGAAGTCTTTAGAGCCATAGACTATAATAAGTTGTTTTTAGATAAATTGCTCAGAGACCAACCAGTTGGACAGAGGTTATTTATATGTACAAAACACCCAAGCACCCAATTCCTAGCCATTTCTAATATAGTCCACATTTCATTAACATTGCTAAATATGATTAAACTGGAAATAAATTAAAGATCCATCTTTGATTGTCAAAAGAATTCCAGGTTCAGTTCCCTCTCAGCCAATTAGATTTCACATAGTATTTTCATCGGTCAGTTGTGGAGGTCTGATTGTTTGAAGCTTTATTTATATAGCACCTTTTAAAAGTGTTTACAAAGTATTTTACAGAGAGATGCATATGTGCATTCACAGAAAAGAAAATGCAAATACAAACATAAAAGAGAAAGTAGTAAAACAAAGTGCAATAACCAGTTTATACCTATAAATCAAGGAAAGGCCTTTAGTGAACAAATCTGTTTTGAGATACTTTTTAAAAGTGCGTTTAAACGTTTAATTCAGGTGCGAAAAGAATTAATATCTAGCGCAGAGAGATTTGCGAGTGCACAGGACAGTTTGAGTGAGAGGAGAGACACGTTTTAAGTGCAGCCGGTTTTGTGTGACATTTGTCATTAAAATAACGCCATACCTAGGCCTGTCACGATAACAACTTTTTGTTTTGTGATATATTGCCCCAGAAATAATTGCGATAAGCGATATTAGTCATTTTAAAGACCATTTTATGCCACTGAATATATAATCATAATGTAACAGCATAATAATGCAAGAAGGCCTACACACTTCCAAATGACAACAAACTTAAGAATTTTAAAGAATATTTAGATCAGTGTTTCCCAACCGGGGTGCCGCGGCACCCTGGGGTGCCGTCTGTCGAGAACAGGGGTGCCGTGTAAAAATCCTTTTTTAATATTTTTAAATTGCTAAAATGTTCAAAAAAGCATCTATTATCTGTCGAGAGCAGGGGTGCCGTGTAAAAATCCTTTTGTAATATTTTTAAATTGCTAAAATGTTCAAAAAAGCATCTATTATCTGTCGAGAGCAGGGGTGCCGTGTAAAAATCATTTTGTAATATTTTTAAATTGCTAATTTGAACTAGCACCTCATGACTACACCACGTTATGCACGAGAAGCTGCAAAAGACACAGGCGCAAGTGAAATGTACAAAACATGGTGACATTAATTTTTAAGTAAATATAATGGCCGATGTGTATTGCGTCACCAAAAATGATTAAGTCGATATATTGATTATTGCGACAGGCCTAGCCATAACTACCAATCTGTCAATGTTCCAAAACAACCACCTACCTAAACAGCATTTTTGGGCAACATTGGCGGTTCCAAGTCATTTTTGAGATACTTTTTAAAAGTGCGTTTAAACGTTTAATTCAGGTGCGAAAATAATTAATATCTAGCGCAGAGAGATTTGCGAGTGCACAGGACAGTTTGAGTGAGAGGAGAGACACGTTTTAAGTGCAGCCGGTTTTGTGTGACATTTGTCATTAAAATAACGCCATACCTAGGCCTGTCACGATAACAACTTTTTGTTTTGTGATATATTGCCCCAGAAATAATTGCGATAAGCGATATTAGTCATTTTAAAGACCATTTTATGCCACTGAATATATAATCATAATGTAACAGCATAATAATGCAAGAAGGCCTACACACTTCCAAATGACAACAAACTTTAAATTTTTAAGAATATTTAGATCATGGAAATTAAATATCAAAATATTAGATACCTTAAAAAACCTGAATAAACA